TTTGTTAGTGGCTCCAATCACTAAAATTCTTGAGTGGGTATGCATCGAATTTAAGCCATTGTATTGATGTGGGTGCTAGAAAAATATTTGGAATAAAAATCACGACTACCATATTTTATATTTACAAAATCTGATGTCAAACGCATTTAGTTGTTTGCCGAGCAAAGTTATTAATCCATTGATTGAAATTGGTGTGTTCTTCAGGGAACTATGTGCAATTCGTTTGAAACTTGACGACATACGTCAGTTAAAAGCAAACATTCATTTAACACTTTGTAAGCTTGAGAGAATATTTTTGCTTAGTTTATTTGACTTGATGGAGCATTTGCCCGTACATTTACCCACGAGGCATTAACTAAAGGTTCAATACAGTACCATTGGATGTATCTTTTTGAGAGGTAATTACTTTGAGATTAGGTAGTTAATGACTTATTTATAAAGACGATTGTCAATATGTGCTAAGCAACATTTATTTTTTATATTTTTGAATAAACTGAAGAGAATTGTAAAGAATAAGGCTCGAACAAAAGGATTGATATGTGAAGCATATTTACTACATGAGACAGCAACATTCTACTCTTACTATTTCATGGAAGAAGAATCCAAGAAAGAATCATTGGGTTTGCTATCACCATCGACTCTTTATGTTTGCTAGCAGTTAGGTGAAGTATCATGTTACCTTAATGACCAGAAACTTTGAGCAATGATACTTTATGTTCTTTTCAATTTTGATGAAGTACAATCCTTTATCGAGAAAGACAATTTTCATTATAATATTTCACTCATTTATCTGAAAAATGTCATGAGTAGTTATTTCAATGATACTTCAATGTGTGAACAGTTTATTCATGGATTAGTTAAATTAATCTTAAGATGATGACAAGCAAGGAGATCGAGGATAACTTCCCCAACTGGTTTACAACACATGCGAGTTAAAATTGACATATTCATTCCTCATGTGACACGAGGCTTTTCATTAACATATGATTGCTTATGTATATATTAATAGAGTCATGATTAGAGAAATGAAGTGACAAATCAAGGGTTGATAGATCTTGCTTGAGGACAAATGCACATTGTGAAATTTTTGGCAAATTTATGATGTAAATGAGTATATGTTTCATACAAGATCTTGGTCCGAAGAAAAAAAAAGTTTTTTTGATTCCGGCGTTTTTGTTAACGCAAATGATAAATTGAACAATGATATACACTAACATGAGATTCTGGATAAAGTTATTGAACTATCTTATCCAGGCTTTATTGAAGGAAGTGTATTCCTATTGAATTGTACTTGGTTCGATCCTGTTCTTAATTGCACAACAAGGGTATACCAAGTATATAATATTACAGAAGTGAAAGTGAATATAATGTATGTTAAATTGTCTTTCATTCTAACCCGACATGAAAGTCAGGTTTACTATCTTAGATATCCATATAGAGCAAGAGATGATGTTGATTGAGTGGTTGTCATTTTGAGTAAACCAAGATTCACCATTAATATTCAGAATTTACTATCTCTTTCACCCTGGTTGCAGCTGGGTTGAGTGCATCAAAGGCCCACGTTTCATCTACCAGGCAGGAGTCGACAGGCAACATCTACCACATTGAGCCTACAGACAACCCGTAAGTTTTTTATAAGATATTGCCAGTAATCTTTTTTTTTTTCTCAATTGAACATAAAACTAACATTTTATTGTTTTAAGGTTCTACCCGTCGACCCAAACTATTTATGCCATTCAGGATATCATTCGAAGCAAGTAGGACTCAACTTACATATCGTGGAAGAAGATTTTGATACCCATTTGAGGTCTTTGGTTTCAGGAGTTTACGGTATGTATCATTCATGAATATTGTAAGTTATTTTTATTTATTTATCAAATTAACATAATCTCTATAAGTTTACAGAAATAATTCTCCTGGTACCCTGAGCTTGAGGCGCACATTCAGTGCAACTTCGAATGTAAGTGTAGCAATCGCCTCCGAGATATGCTTGACGACATTTGAAAGTCACACTAGCATCCTATATGGCTCTGAGAGGATGTATTTGCCACACTAGGGTTTGACATTCCTCAAACTACCAGAAGAAGAGGAAGAAGGCAAAGTAGAACAGGTAGTTGGACTGTGGAGGCATAGGGCCCTCCAAGCACACTAGTGAGATATTCCCACATACAAAATACAAGTGGTAGTTGGTAAGATTTTATTGTTTATTTAAAGTTTTACATTGTTCAAAGATGTATTCTAACTACGTTGTTATCTAAACAGACAGTGGAAATTGGACGATAGCCCTCCGCCACCGATCAACATGAGCGCACTCATAGGAGGTAGTCCAACCAGAATTTGATTGACGACAGATCCTGTGCGATCCAAGAAATTCACAAGCTAAAATAGTTTGATGTTAATACATGCTAGCTCTAAATGACTGTAACCAATTTTTTTTAGAGGAGAGATTCCAGCAGTTGAAGGAGAGCCCATCCAAGGCGTCGGGAGTTATTACGATTCGCGAGAGTGATCTTTTGAAGTGTGGCCTCTGGAGGGAGGCTTTTGGAGGGAAGAAGAAGGTTGAGTCGACATGCTCAGGCCGCAGAGGTTTGCCTACGATGATAAACACTCCACTAGTGCATCTGCAGTTTTTACCTGTACTGCACAGGTTGAGAAGATCTCCAAGTCTGTTGTCACAATCTTAATCGAGATAGAGGCCCGCTTCACTCAGATAAGGTCGAAGCTGGAGGCCAACTTGGAGGTCGATTTGAATTCTTTCCGACAGCAGATGAGAGAGTGTTGCAAGGCAGCGACAACATTGGAGGAGAAGGACGTGGTGAAGGACGATGAGGTTGAGGAGATAGAAGATGACGATTAGGGGGTATTTTTCTTTTTTTTTATGTTTATGTTGTACATTTGAACATATATTTTTTCTGTAAACAGTGGTGTATAAATTTTAGAGTAAATGCATTTTATTTATTTCATTATTTGATTGGATAATTTACTGTTCGACTGTTATTCTATTCCATTAAATGCTTAGAATGATATATTAAATGGTATGATAATAGGTGTGGTGATGTAAATACGAAAGGGAGAATTTTTTTTTCTGATGCCATACGTTTCCAACAGCTTACCGTTGGTTTTGCAACAACTTTTAGCATATCAGTGGGCAAAGCCGATGGACTTATTTATCGACTCCAAACTGGCACCTAACTGATGGTTTCAACGAGTCAAACGAAAATGGCTGGTGCAACTCTTTCTTACAGTTAATGCGTCCGTTATAAAAACCGACGCAAAAGAGACACATAACTGACGATTCTGCCTACTTAAAAAAACAGACGGGAGACACACTTTTCCGACGTATAAGTTGTCGCTATTACTGACGGATAATTAGTCGGCTCTATGAACCGATGAAAAAGGACAACTTTAATTTTCTAAAAAAAAAAACTATGACATTAGTTTCTCGATCATGTGTCGGTAATTTTTTGTCGTTGAAATAACGATCGATTTTAAAATTACCGACAAGCATTTCAAAAGTGACGGTTATTCTCATCATAACGGACGAAATTAGGCAGTAAGAAAAGGCCATTTTTTTCTTGCAGTGATAGAAGAATGGCATTTATTTATAATAATAATAATTCATAGGATGCTATCTTTAGAACCAACCGCCTTTCATGAATGTAGCCTCAATGTTATTGCTCTTTCCAAATGGCCTCCATAATTTGAATGATTGTGTTTTGGGGCCAAGTCTTCAAATTTTCTTTATAATTTAAGAAAGCACATTAATTTTCTCTATCTTATCCTTCATAGATAACAATGGCATGCTTAAAAAGAATTAAAAATGAATAAATAAAAATAGAAAAAAAAGTAGAATGTGCCATATGTGCTATAAGTAAACCAAGAGGAAGAGTGATCTTAGTAAACTCTCTCTATAATCATTTCATCATTCAACTACCGGCCGGTCAAATTTAATCGAAATTAAACTATTTTTTTAATAAAATATTATTAAATATTCAATTATTTTTTTAGATATAGTTAATTATAGTTATCAAAATTTCATAACAACATTTGTTGCTCCAAAAAACCTTATTTAATTTCCTACTATCATGCGAACATAACGATTCATTCACAACGTCTTGGACTCTGTTATCAAAATTTGCTTCACAAAAAAAAGGGAAATTTTCTTCACAAATACCACCACCACTACATTTTTAAAAGTATATGCACCTTTCATGCATAGGTTAGATGTGTAAATATATAAGAAGTCAAACAAGAGGCTTGCCATCTGCCATTCAATAAAGAGCAAGAGGCTTGATGTATCTTCAACAATATCTTTTGATGTTGCTTTCATTTCTTAGCTTGAGGACGATAAAAGAAGACTCTGAATTCTTCTATTCATCTCCAATGGAATATGTTTGCCAGCGTAAATTTTTAGTTTTGTACATTCCTTGGCAGAGAGCTTAGCACTTTGACTCACTTTAAAAAGGTGTTTAAGAAATTAATAATTTCTAACAGAATTTCTATTCATAAGCATTCTTCAAGTTATAAGAAACTTATAATTGCAAAAACTTTACATTTATTTCAAAGAGAAAGATTGATTCAAACCTATCTTATTTTACATTATATGTATATATGATAAATATGAAGGGTGCTAGTTTATTTACATAAACATGAAAGGCATCATTGAAACCAAGGATGAGCTCAAGGTTGAGAAAAATAAAAATTTTCAACATCACAATTGATTCTTTACTAATTGCAGAGCTTCTTGTCACAGTCCAACGCCTCAGAGCAGGAAAAATATTACATTCATTGTCCGGAGGTAAAATTATGTAGTATTTTGCCACATGGCTGGACCCACTTATCCGGCTATTGTATATTTAACCCAAAATCATGTAAATTTCCAGATTTTTCCACCTAAGCA